GTCTTATATACTGATTTTGGAGAAATGAGTTTATAGACCGAATCTGTTAGCCCTTTATATGTCTCTACTGTGAACACACAAAATTTTATCCTGGGAACTGTTCGCTCTGCAGAGAATTAGTTTGTGCTTCCGGCTTTTGTCCTGAGCCCCTAAACACACCACCCATGGAACTGTCTCCAAGCATTTGAAGGAAGGCCAGTGTTCGTAGGGATGCTTGTAAATAATGTAGAGGTATTCAAGACTGCCTTGAGAAATAGAGGATGGAGGAGAGGCTAGGCTGGAGGATGCACTTGATACTGATTCGAAACCCAAAACCCCAGCACTGAATTAACAGGTGTGCTTGTGCGGTTTTCTATGTGCATTTAATCAGCAGTCATCTTCAGGTGTGCCCACATGTAGGTCTTTTTTTAAAAATTCCATCATATTCAAGGAGCCATTTTAGTTGGAACACTCAACACTATTATTGTCTGAACTGAATATTAGCAGGGAGGATGAAATTTCTATGTTTCTTAAACTGAATGGAGGACTTCAGAGTAATCATGTCAATCTAGTCTATAACTGACTTAAGATTTTGAAAGAAAAAAATTTTGAGCACAATATCAGTAAGAAATATATTTTACATGGCAGTCTAGCACACAAATAAATTTATGTTTATTTGGGTATACTTGTGTGAGTATCCACCCACATTTATTTTTCAAAAAGTAATGTTTACTTGTACTACTTGAGGTGCTCTGATATTTTCTGTTCTGTACCATTTTTTGTAATGCTAGTATTGATCCACTAATTAGATTTTTAACTAACAGTGCTAGAAAACCCCGTGGTAGCAGGTACATTTAAAAGTACACCTAAGTGGTCTATTTTTAAGCCTTGTGAATCATGATTATTAGAGTGAGGTGGTATTTGATTTTTTTGCTTCATTCATTTATTAGTGAATGAATGAGTGAAATATTTATTGAGCACTTATGCGCTAGGCATTGTGATTAGTGTTAGAAATACAGAGATAGGTAATTAAGTAAAAACAACTCTGTGGTCAGCAGAAAAAATTTTCATTTCTCACTAGGGTGAGGCCGTGTCAGTAGATGGAAGGGAATTTTAGGCTGGGTAAGCAGTGCCATGAATAGCACGATGGTGCCTGGCTCTCTTGGGGAGCCAGGTGCAGAAGTGCAGAAGGAACTCAGGGTAGAAGCGTAGGAGTAGGCAAGGAGGGCCTTGAAAGCCATGCCATGGAGTTTAGCCTGTGTCCTTTTGGCCAGTGGTTTTTGAAATTTATTTCAGGAGAATTTTTATTTTCAAAAAGGATATTATTTGTGACCTTGATATGTAAAATGGCAAACTCAGAGCCACCCTGGATGAAACAGAGTGGCTTCCCCTAGATTTCTAACCCCGGGGGTCTTGAGACCCCTAATGACTTAACCTGAGAACCACTGTTTGGGTTCAGGGAATGGTAGGATCTGACTGGTATCTCAGGAGGACACCGTGGGGGATGGCTCAATGAGGAGATGGCTAGAGGGAGATGGCTAGGAGGCGGTCCTGTTCATCCAGCGAAGAGATGAGGAGAGGCCCTGAAACTGGGGCCGTAGCAAGGACTTAGTGCATTAGAATCCCCGGGACTTGCTCTCCAGTGGGCTGTGGAGGGTAGGGAAAGGGAGGAGGAAGGGAAATGAGTTTGGTTTTGATTATATGAAGCCTCATGCCAAGTTTGTTCTTCTGGGTGCCAGATGCTTGGGGTATTTTGTGGGGTATTTTGGTCACAAATCTGCAAGGGAGGCCATTGTTTGGATTTTTTTGGGGGGGGGGGCGGCTCTATCACGTGGCCTCCAGTTTTAGGATTGTATCACGTTTTCCTTAGCTCATATTTGTGTATATTCTCTCCAGCCTTTGGAAACAGAATGGGCCCTGAGGCTCTCTCAGTCTGCCTGTCCTCATGCACGTTTGGAGGTCCTCCTAGGGCCGGGGCGCCCGGGTGTTCCTTAGTTTGGATTCAGGCATCCAGGAGTGGTGCATCTTAGGGCTGATGCTGAGAATGGAAGAATGGCTTTAGAGGCCTGGAGTCTGAGATTAAATCCCTGCTCTGCCAATTACTAGCTGTCAGGTAGTGGGTACCTTACTTCTGTAGGATGAGAATCATAATATCCACCTTGTGGGATTGTTGAGAGAACTTAAAATAATATGGAAGATGCCCGGCTCAGGGTCTGCACACAGTAGGCCTGTGTGTGAGGTCTTGAATATAAAATTTCATTATGAAAATAAATCTTCTGAAGAGAGGGCTCCTCTCTCCTCCTGCAAGGAGGCCCTCCATATTGAGAAATATTACATTAATGCAGGGTGAGTGGGAAGATTAGAAGAAGTCAAGCTGGAAAAGCAGGAACATTCAAGGGGCATACATTCAGATGGCCTGAAGACAGTGGTGACCTGTGGCTTTGTTTGCTATGGTGTTTAGAGGGCATTTGTGACTCTCAGGCCTTCTTCTGGAGGCAGGAAAAGCACTGAAAAAGACTTCCAATTTTTTAATTAAAAAAAATTAATATGTTCTTTGCATTTTCATCTTTTCTTGCTGCATTTACCTGTTTTAGGTTTGTACTCAGTGCACATTAAAATGATCATAACCTTAAACATATATTGAGAGAAGGATTTAGAGAAAAGTGTAATAAAAACATCTAGAGACTTTTCTTGGATGGAGACTGAGGAATTGATTTTTTCTCTCCCCTGCAAATAACCAAAATTGGAGGGAGAGAGACAGAGATGGCAGTGGGAGACCTGTATTCCAGAGGGTGAGGGATGTGCTCAGCGTAGAAAAACCAAGTCAGAGAGAGGCTGGCACTGCCTGAAAGATGGTTGGTCCTTTGTGGGGGTTATTTAGCTTTAGTGCTCTCTTCCTCTTTGTTGAGACAGCTGTAGTTTGGTATCAGGGGATAATAAAAAAGAAATATAACTAGATTCTCAGGGGGATTATTTGTAATACTTAAAATTTGTGTATCACTTTCATCTTGGAGAAGATTTTGAAAATATTACTATAATATTAAGAGCAGTTTTTGGTAGGAGTCATTAGCCCCCATTTTACAGATTTCAGTCTGAGATTTTCTGAATCGGATTGTTTTTTGCCCCAGCCTGCCTGCTCCAGTGGTAATATAAATCAGGGGCCCCTGTCTTCCTGGGCGGTAATTGAAAGCCTCTGATGCCTATCTCTGACCTGCCTTTTCTAACTCTCCTGGAAATTGCTTTCCTTCATGTAAGTATTTTTGGGCCTCTGAATGTCCTTTAATCCAAGAAAGAAAAAAATCTTGTACCTCTCTCTAGAATTACTCATATTAGAGAATTGTAAGACTTTGAGATACCTTGAGTAAACTTAGGAGGTTAGAAGTGTTAAAGGAACGGAAATTAGAGCAAAGTTTTTTCTTATTTGTTTGTTTTAAGGGATGAATTCTCACTTGATGACATCATTGGTGACTGAGCTTATTAAAACCTTTCCCAATAGGGCCAAACATTACCTATATTTAACAGGAAAGCTGAGAGTTAAAAATCAGATATTTTACATTCTTTTTGTTTCTGACTGTCAAGCACAAGAGAAGTGTTACCAGTTTAAAAAGGGAGGCCTAAGTGACATATATTAAAAAAAGGTCAAATATTTATTTGTGTTAAATAGCATACTAAAAAGATATGGCAGTAGGGGTTATCTTATAAGATATGGAGATATAAAATATAACCTAGATATGAATCTTAGTAAGTTGTACAAACAACTTGAAAAACTTTTTTTGAAAAGGGGTATGTTTTTCTTTAAGGAAGGATGAAATTAAATAAGTGGAGATATCCTGAGACCCCACCAAGTGGCAGATATGAGGTGGGCGCTTCATTTAACATGCCTGGTATTCCATTGCTATTCTACTGTTAGAGGAAAACCAGCAGATGGGCTTTAAAACCTAGGGAAAACATTTTTTAGGTCACAGAGCTTTTTTATGGCATTTTCAAAAGTGGCTTGATTGGGGGCCATTGTCAGTACTGTTACTGAAATCAGGAGATCTGGGTGCTGCTGGGCTTGGTTGAGACTTGAGAGAAGTCATCCCTGCCTCTCTCAGCCTCAGTTTCCTCATTTGAAAAACAAGGCAGTGGGCAGGTTAGGTGGTGAGGTCCCTTAGGCCTCTCAGATTGTGTGTGGGCTCCTGGGGAGTTAGCAGGCTGACTTCCTGTGGTTACCAAGGTGAGTTCTGGCTTCTTTTCCCAGTGGTTTCTGTGTACACAGTGTGATGCGAACTGTGTGTGGTTACGGGGATGATAGCAACCTTTATGCTTCTCCAGGAAATAATAAATGCCATGTAACTTTGACTCAAGTCCTAGGCTCTTGTTTATTTTTTCATTAACTTTTTATCTTTGATGAGTCAGAAACGCAGGCTCTTGTACGATGATAATAAGATTTTGATTATAATCACTTCAAATTACAGGCCCTTCTCCTGTATAATGATTTTTGCTATTTGCCCTTCCATAATATTCTTTAATAGGCAGAATAGAAGGACAGTGTTTTGATCAGTAAGAACCTTAGTCCGTTACTTTATAAGCCCTTATAATACTAAAATTATCCTTAACAGAAAACTTTGCATGTGCCCACGTTGACAGGATATTAATATTCTGTAACTGGGTGGGCAAGTCTGAATATTTCAGGATGGTTGATGATGGAGTATCACGAGACCTTAGGCGTAAGGAAAACTTGTCTGTCTAACATCTTCTGCACATCTGGGCCTGCACATGCACACACACACACACAAACTGTGTAAATGTGTGTGTGCCTGCCTAACTCTGATGTGTTGCTACTGACTAGTCCTAAATTACTAATTGATTACTCTCCTGTTTTGGGGACTTGATCTCAAAGATACTGACTTGAAGAAAGTTTTGAGCAATTGCATGAAGGTTGGACTTGTAAAAATCATTAGACCTGCCACTAGTGGTAACTCTGTGGTGAATGGACTTTATTCCACAGCACTACACACAGATGTGAGGCTTGGAGGCAATTGGGAGTCAATAACTAATTTATTAGGCCTTTTGTTGTAAAAATGAGAGCGGGCAGGATTCCCGTAAAGTTTTTTTTTTCCTGGAGCGTTGAAGAGAGGACTTGGAGGGATCAGCGTGTTGGTTGACAGCATTTGAGAATGTTTTGTTCCAGCTTCAGAATCACAGATGCATAACACGTGGCTTTAGATCTACTGTAGTACGTTCTGCCTGAGTCTTTACTGAAACTTAAAAAAAACTTTTAGTTGTGGCAAAAGACATATGAAATTTACCATCTTAACCATTTTTAAGTGTACAGTTCAGTAGCGTTGACTATATTCACATGGTTATGGAGCAGATCTCTAGAACTTTTTCATCTTGCAAAACTGAAACTCTGCGCCCACTGAACAACTCCCCAATTCTCCCTCCCCCCAGCTCCTCGCAACCTCCATTCTACTTTCTGTTTCTATGAGTTTGACTACTCTAGATACCTCATATAAGTGAAATCATACAGTACCCATCTTTTTGTGACTGGCTTATTTCATAATGTCCTCTTAATGACTTAGTATAATGTCCTCAAGGTTCATCCATGTTGTAGCATGTGATAGGATTCCTTTTTTTTTTAAAGGCTGAATAATATTCCATTGTAGGTGTAGGCCACATTTTCCTTATCCATTCATTTATCAGTGGACATCTGGGTTGCTTCCACCACTTAGCTCTTGTGAGTGGTGCCGCAGTGAACATTGGTGTTGAAATATCTCTTTGAGATCCTGCTTCCATTTCTTTTGGATATATACCCAGAAGTGGGGTTGCTGGATCATATGTAATTCTATCTTTAATTTTTTGAGAAATCTCTATTTTTCACAGCAGCTGCACCATTTTACATTCCTACTAACAGTGCACAAATGTTCCAATTTCTCCCCATCCTTTTCTGAAGCTTTTATTATCTTATTAAAATAAAGTGTAGTGGAGAAAAGCACTATCATGGTCACCATTCATGTTTTTCCTGGTAGGTGGTAATTAAAAAGGTGATAGAAATGGTAATAAAAAGGTGAGTGGAGACGTGGTTATGGGTGAGCTTGGCAGATTTTAGAAAAGAGCTTAGTCTCTCTCTTATCTCACTTCATTCCTTACCTGTCATTAAAATTCTGGTTATAATGAATGAATCCATTTGTCAGATGGTTTTAAAAAATACCTCCTGAATAAACTGTTCCCTCAGAACATCATAAGAATAATAAAAGCCCAGTGCAGAAAACTGAGAGAAAGGGTCTTTGGACAACAGAGTGCACTGGGGCTGACTGTGTGGTTCTCTGCTGGGCTGGGAGGATGAGATCGAAGCTGCCAGTACCCTAGTCTGGGTCTTTATTCTCTCTGTGCGGGTACAAGTTGGACGTCAGAGCACACGGAAAGATATGGGTCATCTGCCACTTGGTGCAAGCCTGTTGGCTCCAGCTTGGTGTTGGATACTGCAAGGTGAGGTGGGAGAGGGGTTAGAATGAGCTTTCTCTGATTTCGAGCTTTGGGGCCACTTCACTGATGGGGAGGCTTGAGAAATGCTGCCACTTCCTTTGTCCTCAGCTCCCTGTACCTTCAAGTTTGCCCTAGAAATGAACGAGGCAGCAGGAATTCAGAAGGCCGGCTAATTTCCAGTATGCAGGAACTTACTGTGTATCTCTGGGCATGCTGCCCTGTGTCTCATTCTCCTTATCTATAAGTGAGATGATTGGCTTAGGTAGGTGAATTTTGAAAAAGACCTCTTGACATCTGCTAGGAGTTCTGGCTTTCATCTTCTCTTTGTGAAGGGTTAAGGTATGGAGCAGGGGGTGCTGCATAAAGTGGAACAGGCTCTGCAGTTCACCCTATGGTGCCACCTCTCACAGAGCCTTTGCTCTGTTTAGGCTTCTGTTCAGTGTTCAGGCTTCTGAAATGCCTAAATTGTTTTTGAACTACTGTTTCTTAGATGATTCTGGGCTGGGGAGTCTGGAGTGAAGGTTACATAAAACTTCCACCTGCCCTAAAACAGATTATAATATGTTTCCAAGAGCATTATATCCAGAGGACCTTAGAGATTTTCTACATCAGATCCCTGAGATTTTAGAGAGAGTATTGGAGAAGCCAAGAGACTGGCTCAGGGTCACAAGGCCAGTCAGTGTCAAAAGCTGAGAATGGAGTCCGCTTTTCACTTGTCTTGAGTTTGTAACTAGTGCACTTTCCATTATTTTAATTAGGTAGATAAGACTGGTACAGACGAAGAGATAAGCAATACTCTAAGGCCATGCATGATAGGTACCAGATGAGGGGGGCTGACAGTACTGGTATAGGGTTTCTGAGAAGGAGGAATCATCTTAGCTAGGATAATCTGGGAAGCCTTCCTGGAGGAGGGAAGTTTTGAGCTGGGCTTGAAGGATGGGTGGACTTTAGACCAAGAGGTGAGGGGAACACCAAAAGCAGAGGCATGGAGATGAGAAAGCCCAAGACAGGTGGTAAGGCACAGATCAGTTTGGCTGGAGCAGAGGGACAGGTATGAGGAAAGGATAAAGACTGACATTTATTGATCGTCTGTCTTGTGTCAGGCATAGTGTCTGGTCCTTTACCCATGTCATCTCAGCATCCAGAGTCAGGAGGTGCCCTCCTGACCGTGTACTTGTTTGAGGACATCACTGTCTCTCCACCCCATCTGTGTACCTGGGATCTGTCTTCCTTAGAGTAAAAGTCAGTTACACTTTGATCTAGTGGAAAATACCTGGTTTAAAATGAGGAGAAGAAAAGAGGGAAGAATTGTTTCTGTAAAGAAGGTCTCAGAGGGAGTTGATAGTATTTCATTCTTTTACAGTAAGCGTGCAGTCTGCCTCCCAGGTAATGGCAGCTGGAGGGCCTTGGCGCTTCTGAGTGACTGGGCTGACCATGAATTATTCAGGGCCTGTGCCCAGTGAGTGGCTGCCTAGCAAAGTCCTTTGGGAGGGAGGCTGTGCTATCTCATTGAGAGATCACAGAAGCTCAGGTGCTGAGGAGGAAGAAATGACTGCACCCTTAAAATATTTCACATTTTGGCATGCCAGGGCCGCATGCAGTGTTCCATAGCCCTGCAACTGGGTAATCAGGACCTGTTTTTCAAAGAGCAAGAAATAACACCTCCACCTCCAATTAATAAATACAATAAGCTACACTGTCATGTTAGTGTGGCACATGTTGGCAGGGATTTAGTTAGAAGCCACATTAAAATTGGAGATATGACGGTATAGCAACAGAGGGCATTCATGTGGAAGAAACCCCACTCGGCTTTGTTCTTTTCTCCACCAAGTAGAAAAATGCTGTTGTTGATCCATTCAGAATGCTACTAACCCAATCTGTTACATGCCACTGTGTGTGTCTGTGTCTGTGTGTGTCCGTCTGTCCCGTTTCCTCAGCTAGGTTGAAAGTGCCTGCAGAGAAGCAATCACTTCTTATAATTACGTGGGTCCCTCCAATGGCTGTGCTTCCAGGTGGGGCTGAGAGCATGTTGGATGGGTTCACTTTTGCTCTCTGTAGACCAGGAGGTGTGGGGCCTGTGTCTTGATGATAAAGTTTGCATCTCCCACTCCCTTCCTCTTCCTACCACCCTCTCCAGGTACCTGTTCAGCCTGTTCTTTCCACCTTTTCTCATTGCAGCCAGTTTATGTTAAGCTCTTGGAAAAGGTAAGATGGGTGTGAATACCTGAGGGCAGGGTCCAAGGCTTGCTTTCACAAAGAATGCATTTGTATTTCCTCTTTTCCCATTTCTTTCCCATGAGCTGTGCTACGAGGAAACAGTGTCTTCTCACTGTCCCATTTGCGCCCTTATAAAGTCTGGCCCAATAGCTCTGAACACCTGTGTGTGTCAGCCTTTTCTCTCCATGTCAGAGGTGGGAAGCAAAACCAGAAATCCCGGGCAAGAGCAGGCCTGGCCCCAGCTGCATTCCTCAGATGTTCTTTTCCTTTGAACCACTCTACCTGCAGCGAAGGAGGCCAGTCTTGGCTCTGGCTGGTGTTATAGTCACAGGCATAGCAACACCTGTTTGCTAAAGGTGGGGCCTCTGGACAGGGGCATTCTTTTGCCCATACAGGGAAGCTTTGCTTGTGCAGATAACAGACGCGATAAGAATGCAGGGATAGGGTTTGGCTGGGGTAGAAGACTCAGTAAACTGCATTCCTTCCCCAGGACTTTGGGTGCTTGATACTGAGTGTAACGTGCCATTTTTCTCCCTCTCAGCAGAGATGCCAGGTGCTTTATATTCAGTTGTGCTGTGACCAGTTGATCAAGAAACAGAAAAAGGATATGAGTGGAAATTAGATTTGCCCTGGTATTTCAGATTCAGCCATATAACTAGATGATTTTGTGGGAGGGGTGTGTGTGTGTGTGTGTGTGTGTGTGTGTGTAAAGAGAAACATCCATATCCTCCAGGCAACAGAGGTAGCAGTTACTGTAGATGGAAAAATACCTTGAGCTGTCCCTTTAATGTTTCTTCTAGTTATCCTACATCCCGAAGTATCAAATCTGATAGCTCCACTTCAAACAAACATTGACCTTTCTAAAAACATAGGCCCTTTATAACTTGTTTCATAGTGAGTATTGTGTTCTTGCTATATTGGGTGTTAACTGCTTTAACATCTATAAAATATGATTTTCAAGATGCTTTTCCCGGTGTGTAATGGGGTGAGTTAAAGAGAAGGGTTTGTGAGTACTTCCCAGGTGGAGGACTGGTCCTGCCATTCCGAACTGTCCTTGTCCAAAAATCCAAAGGGGTGACCACTCTGGTTCCCAGCCTGAGGTCAGTGATTCTATGTGAAACCTAGAACATTCTGCAGCTAGTAGCCTCCTTGGTGGAGAGATGGCCAAAGGTAAGGTAGAATTAGTTTTTGAAATTTCCTCTATGAGGAGTTTAAAGACTAGTAATCATAGCTGTTAGGGTAGTGCTAAGATCTTTCTAAACATTTATCTCAATTATAGAATAACTCTATGAGGTTGGTCCTGTTATTGTGTGAATTTTGCAGGCTCAGAGAATCACAAAGTTAGGAAGTGGCAGACCCAGCTTCCTAGATTCCTAGTCTGTTCTGGCTTTGCATTTCCAAACCTGAGCCAAATGCTCTGTGGGTGGTGCTCTAGGAGTGAGTTGAGGGGTGGTCTCAGCCCTGATCAGCTGAGGGTCTTGTGGGTTGTGAGGTGAGAGGAGGGGAGGGGAAGCTGACTGCTCCCAGCTGTCCAGGCTGTGGGCCCTGAGTGTGAGGTGCCAGTGGGGAGAAAGAGATGCTCTGGAGGGGTGGCAGGCAGGTAGCAACAGCACAGAAATGCCAGTGTCAGAAATGTGTTCTGCCAGTGGGACTTGTTGAAATTGCCTTTTTGGGGGGGGGTTTCAGATTATTTCTTATGTTTTCTGTTATTTTTGGCTGGATATCATGGTAGTATGCTTGGTTGGTTGGTTGAGTTTTCTGGTATGTGTGGCAATTTCCATTGAAAAAGGCGTGGGGTTTTAAGAGAAGATCCATGCTGAGGCAGGCTTTGGGGAGAAAGGATAGCAGTAACTAGGTATTTAGGGGGTGGCTGGCTCTCTGGGCATTATTCAGCAGAGTGGACAGAAGAAGGATCACAGTTAAGGATTCAAGACTGGGCGAAGTGGGCAGGAGGCTCCTGGAGAAGGGAATAGGTGGGCCAGAGAGACAAGGCAGAAAGAGAACCAGAGAGGCTTGACAGAAAGATCCTCTACGCTTCGGCCCTGTAGAGCATACATGCGGCAGCATGATTTGGGGCCCACTTCTCTATCTGGCCACACAAGTGGAAGAGGATTATGTTAGTAGTATTATTTTGGTTTCCTATAAAGAAATGCTCAGGAGAAATTGGTTGTAGTCATCCATCTGTCAAGGAATTTGACAGTGATGAACGAAAGGCAGATCTGGAAATGGCAGTAGAGAGTGGCTAAGAATCTGGCAAAACAGTTTATATGTAAAACTTTGTTGTTTTCTGCCCCTCCCTATTCCTACTACTTTTTTCCCTAGCTCTTGAGTCGGTTTTTCAAGTCCTTAAATGTGTACAAATCCCATCACATCTTAGCATTTTGGCCATCGTCTCCCAGACGTTTTCAGTCTTGCTAATGTTTAGATGTTCAGGAAATGAACACTCCATAGTTTACTCTTTCAATCTTGCTGTAATGCAGGAAAAGCATTCTTTTTTTTTTAAACCTCCCAGACTACATAGAGCCTTTTGGAACAAACAGAGGCTTCATCTTACCCTCTACTACATGCTAAGTTATACAGAATCTTAGTGTACAGGTCCAACACGTATGAGAAGAGGAATAAGACCAAACCAAATAAGACCAAACAAAACGCATTCACAACAAACCCTCAGAACCCTCAAACTAGTAACTTCTGTATGAACTAGCAGAGAATGTGCCTGATCCTAACCCAAACTAAGTGCTGTAGAAGTTCTTGTGGTGGCTTGCTTGGGTTTTAGGTTTATCTTGATACTACTTACCAAGTTTTATGGTTTTTCTGAAAAGCTTAGAAACCACTGGTAAGCTGATATACTCTGAGTACCAAGGAGAAACAGTGCTAGACTTGGTCAGTCTTGGGTCCAGGTTGGCTCTGCCACTCACCAGCTGTAGCGCCCTGGGAAAGGCACTGTGTCTGTCTGAACCTCAGTGGCCTTGTCTGCAAAATGGATACAATACCTTCTTCACAGGGTTAGTCATTTGAGAAAATGTCTGTGAAAGCATTTTGTGAACTACAAAGTGCTGTAATAATGTGGTGATGTTGTTACTGTGGCCATTCAGTTTATGTGGAGATTGATGATAATTGGGACTACAACAATAGTCTCCAAGAGGGGGGAGCCCAAATCACTCATAAATACGTTTAAAACCAGAAGGAATTTTTTATGACCATAGATTCCAACCTGTTCGATTTATAGGTGAGGACTGTGAGGCCCAGGGAGGGTTAGACATGCATGTAATTACTTGGCTTCTTGGTGGCACTCAGAGTTGGGGTGAGCCTGAGCTCCTGACTCTGGACTCTGGTCTTTCCACCACACCACAGCATTTCTACTTTGTGCTGTCTGCAGATAATTCTGGGGACTTGGTTTTACCTTTCTGGCATCACAAGGATGGCAGATACATGTTACCCGGGCTTCGGTTCCTTCGATCCCATAGTTGACTTTGCCAGATTACGCCTTGGAATCTTGTTGCAGCTTGAAGGCAGGCACAAGCACATATCAGAGTTGCCCACAGGTGTTGATATCCCTGGCCTGGATGAGGGGAATTATTTTTTTTAGATTAGAAAAGATTGAGGGAATAGGCCAAAATTGCATGGTGTGTTACTGCAGAGAGCTTGGTTGACTATTGAGCATTCTGAAACGATCACCCCCCGCTTACTGTTCCCACTCATATGCTACACGTGTCTGCCATTGGTGTCTTCAGGATGATTATTCTTAGATCACTATAAATAAAACTGTGGGGAGGACCCTTGGCTTCTGACTTTATTCAGTTAGAGCTGGGCAAGTTCCTTTCAATTCCTCCTTTCCTCCTCAGCTTGTTTCCATCCTTCCTCTCCTGCCTCTGAAGTTAAGGGTACCTCCTCTTGACTAAGGTGGACTGCTCCACCCATTCCTTTGAGCCATTTTCCCACTGGCCTTTGCTTGCCTATGCCAACTCAGGGCTGAAACCTGACAGAAAACATGCTCGGCTGGACCCTGTTCCAGAACCCCTTCCCCTGGTCCTGTAGCTCCCATTCATAGTCTTATCTTCACAACCTCTACCGTCTGGTTCTCCTTCTTCCCTTTTCTCCTCATTCTTGAACTCCCTGTAACCTTGCTTCAGCTTTTATTACCCCATTGACCTCCTCATTCACACGCTGGGTCACCTTTTCTCTGACTTCTAGCTCCTTGTTCTTTTTGCAGCATGTGATGCCTTCTGTTGCCTTCCTTGCTTGATCTCCCCTCTCTTGGATTTTCAGTCTGTAACTCCCTTGGTATCTCCCTGTTGTTTCCTCTTCCTCTCAGACCTAGGCCTTCCCCCGGGCTCTGTGCTCAGCCTCTTGCCTCTTACATCCCTTCCTAGATTTAAGCCCACTACAGTCTCTACTCTCATTCCATGTGTATTCAGCCTTGAGGTCTAGGTCCACATCCCTGACTGCTTCTGGACATGTCATCCTGTGGTGTTGTAGGTAACTCAGATTCAGCTAGAAGGAAATGTTCAGTCCTCCCTTACACTCTGCAGCCAGCTGTATCAACCCTAGCATCTTCTTCAACCCGAGCCTTTGAACCTCCCACATACAGTTGGTTACCAAAGTCTTGTGGATTAACTCTTGCATCAAGCCCATTCCTTTGTTCCCATTGCCACACCATGACTAGTCCTTTGACCTGGACAACTGCAGTAACCACCTGAGTGACCCTGCTGTCTTCAGTCTCTCTCCTTTCTCCCCATTCTAACCTACCACTGTCATAATAATCATCCCCAGAGTCTAACCCAGACGCCATCCTTCTCTGGCTCAAGTCTCCAATGGTTCCCAGGCCAGGCTTAGTTCCAAGCCTGCCTCTCAAGGCTTCCCTCCTGCCTGACAGTCCTTTATGCTCCAGTCAAAGGGCAGCACTCACTGGTGCTATTCCTGGGACAGTCCCGTCAGTGTCAGTGCCTTCACTTGTGCTGCCCTCCCCCTAGCAGGGAGGAAAGGAAAGGAGGCTTCCCCCTCGCCCTGGCCTGTTGATAGTCTGCCTGTGCTTCCAGGTCTGGTCAAATGCAGTCTGTCCTGCAGTTGTTCCTGCCTGCTTTCCTGGGCAGGTGTGACCTCCTGTCCTCTGAACTCTTGTAGCTCTCCTCTCCTAGCCCTTATTCTGTTCTTCTGGAATTGGACTGCTTGCATATCTATCTGTCCCATCTCCTTTGGCCAGCAGCTCTCCCAGTCATCTTTGAATCCGTCCAAAATGTTGGACAGTGTGCCTTGCACACAGTTGGCACCCAGTAAACACTGAGTGGAATAAACAGTGAGCACCTCTGGCCTTCCTTTACCTCCTCCCTCTGTGAGTTGGAGGTGGTTGGATGAGCCATCAGGGTGTGTCCTCTTTTTCCCTGGCCCCATCACGTCAAACAGACCCCCACTTCCTACCTCCTGCCCCTCTGCAGTTATTAAAGCTTTCCCCAGCCTCAAACCTTTCTTTCCAATACTTATGTGTGTTCACCATGCCTGGCTTGTTCTAAGTCTGATTTTCTGGATTGAGTGTGGTACGCTAGTCCCAACCTCTGCCCCATCACATTGTATGTAACCTGGCTAATTAGAAAGCTTATTTCACCTACTTCCGCATACCAGAGGGAGCTGAAAGGGAGACTCTGAGTGTTGATCCATATTCTGTTCATTAAGTGGCTTAAAGATTAAAAATAAAGTGTTGTAAATTGGCAAGCACTTTGCAGTCTCATAGCTGGACATTTAGAGACTTATCACTTCACCAATATATTTAATAGTGAAGACGGACCTGTTAAGATCGTAATTGACAAGTTTCCATCCTACTCTTTGTAGCCTTGATGGGATATGTGGGGAAAAAATGCAGGAGGAGGTGAATTTTGAAAAATATACTCCTAATTTTGAATAGGATGACCATTTTTAGGGCATTTTCACATCATCCCCTCAGTGACCTTGTAGAGGTAGGCATTAATTATCCCTGTTGGACAGCGGAGGTTTAGAAGGAATCCAGGGTTTCTTCTAAGGTCACAGGTGGTTAAGAGGCTTGGCCAGGACCAGAAACCCAGATCTTGGGAATCCTAGTCAAGCGCTTCTTCCAGTACCCCGCGTTTTGCTAGTGAATTGCAGCAGTGGTAAAGGGCTTTAGAAAATGCTCTACATGGATGATGAGAAATGTCTTCAAATCATGGGCCTAGCTTTAGAAAGCTAAAGGTTGATACTGGCCATATTAAAAACCCAGGCTTGTGGCTGGAAGGAGTGGGGGTTGTTCAGAGTTGAGCAGTCAGCCAGACTCTAGGTTTGTTTTAACTCCAGTCCTGGACAGGGATGCCGTTCTTGAATTACAAGTGCCCTGGAGACTAAAGTAAACCTGGGGTGGAAGCTCACCTCTTTAGTGCAGATTGGAATCCTTTAGGAATGAAATTACCTTCTTCGGTGAACATTGCTGCAGGGCTCCATGCTGGAAACACCAAATTTGCAATTTGTCTTCTGCCTGTAGTGAGGAAAAGGGGGGCGGGGTGGGGGCGGAGACTAGGGTCAATTATTTACCAAGATTACATTTTGATCATGGTTATTTTCTGTGTAGAGGACTTTATTTTTGATTGAGCTTGGTGGGAGAAGAAGCTAAGGAGGAGAGTTTAACAATCTTGAAGAACCCAAAAGTTTAGAGGCCTTGTTTGACAAATCAAAGTAAGATTTGAGTCTCTGGGCATACCGCCCTGAACCCGCCGGATCTCCTTTGATCTCAGAAGCTAAGCAGGGTCGGGCCTGGTTAGTACTTAGATGGGAGATTTGAAGGTAATTTTTTTTCTCTTATCTGCACATCGGCTCATAAACTTCCAGGTTAGGGATCCTAAGGTGTTTATCTGTGTACCTTCCTCCCACATCTCCCACAATGCCTTGCAAATGGGTGCTCCCATAAACTTTCCTTGCATCAAATTACAATTATAGGGCCAGGGTTATCCCAGAAAACGTCCAGCTCAACATCCCACGATGGCAGCAGAAGTCTGTTAAGGAGATTCTATTGAGAGCCCTAACTTATGCCTCCCCTCTCTGCGGGCCTGTGCGGTGCCCAGCGTGACTTTGTTCTAGTTTCACGCGGCCGGCCGCCGCCGCCGCCGCCGCGGCGTGGTTGGCGCCCGCGCAGTGGGGACGCCGTGTGCGCCCAGGTGCGCGGCCCGCGTGGCCGCCTTATTTCCGCCGACCCTGAGTAGTGGATGAGCCGGCCGGCCGGGGACTTGCGGGGCTCTGTACCCTCCCGCCCGCCTCCTTTTCATGTGATAGTAATCGGAGACTTTTCCGTTACGTGAGGCTCTCAACAAAAGATTGTAATTCCAGCAGCTTTGTTCGGGAAGGTACCACTGCGGCGGGCGCGTCCTGGGCCCGGCCCTGGGTCGGCGGCTCGGGACGGCGGGGGCGCCGTGGGCCGCGCGGGGCGGCCGGGGAGTGGGGTCTGCGCGCCGGCGGCCTCCCCTGCGCCCCTCCTGTGGTACAGCCTGTGTTTCCTCTACAATGCTGTTATGCTAATCAGGTGACATCACCGCCCGGCGCACCGCGAGTGGCTCCTGATTAAATTACAAACCGACGGCCACGGCGGGCAGCCGGGAGGAGGTGTGCGCGCTGCTCCCGCCAGCGCCCCGGCTCGGCGACGGGGGCATGCTTAGGATTGGCCATATTTTTAAAAATTTCTAAGTCGGACTTGCGCCTCCCTCCCTCCGTCCCTCCGCCCCTCCTTGGCTATTTATTTCAGTCTTCTAGCCAAGGGCCACAAAAGGAAGGAAAGCAACCAGGAATTAGATGCGTGTTTGGTAACTCCTGGCCCGGCTAAGGTGGACTCTCCTGCAGCCAGCTCCCTATCAGATCACCCTGCTGGACTTTCAGACCGGAATGGGGCTTCCCTGAGGTCCAGCCCTTTTCGCAGGGGCCGAGAGCCAAGCCGTGCGGAAGCTGCTGTTTGTTGGATGGGGCTTGGAGGGGGCCGGAGCGGGATCTCCACAGTGCAGCCTGCCTGGGCGTTACGCCGGGCATAATGGAATTGCAGAGGACGTCTAGCATTTCCGCGCCGCTGTCGCCGGGTTACACGGGGCAGGTGCCTTACAACTACAACCAGCTGGAAGGGAGATTCAAGCAGCTACAAGGTAAGCCCCCTCCCAAAGGCTGGGCCTGCCTGAGGACGTGCCTACGGGAGTTCTGAGGCTTTATTTGTGCCATATGGTACGTGACCCTAATGAAGACGGGCGGCCGCACGGCCCGGCCCCAAAGCCTCTGGTTGGCTGCGAGCACCCCATTGACTGCTTAAAGGAGACAGTTTCTTACTCTCTACTCTAGAAAAGCCACCGTTTGGTGCCCCCCCTCCCCGGTGTCCTTTTGGCTCTCTTGTCAGGTATCCGCTGCCCACTGCACACATTTTCTGCCCTTTGAGCTGTCTTTGTATCGCAGTAGATCAATGCTGATAGACCTATTAGTATGCAAGTATTTGATTCCGGGTCACCTCTGTCTCCCAGCCCCCAGCCTCTTACCTCTGGGAAGCCTAAAGGTGTAAAGTGCACTGCTCGACACCCAGTCCTGTAGAACAATAGCAATGGGGAGGAGGGAGTGGTCTTTTTGTTCCTAAGTCTTGGGTAAATTACAGTTTTGATTACAAAGCTTAATTTTAACTCTTTTGATGTATTGTGTTGGGGGAGAGCCTTCCCATCAATTTAGTGGGCTATGTAATTTATAATGAAAACCAGTTACTGTCGTTCCGATGTTATGGGTTGGATTAGTTGGATCAATTTCAGGTTTCTTGGAGTCTATATTAGTCTCAAATAATTGAATGAATCCAATATTTTACCGCACGTATTTTTATGGCGAGCAGGGTCCTGTGTGCATCGGTGTGTGGGGTGATGGGCCTGCAGCCTGCGGCCGGGGTGGCCCCTGCAGCACTTGGCTGTCCCTGCCCAGCCAGTGGGCCTGGCCAGTGGTGTCTCAGAGCTTATACATGAAAAAGAATTCATAACTGAAAACAGAACTCCTTCCGTTTGGAAGCCCCTGGAACCAGTAATGGGCCAGGAATGGCTCTAATGCTGTGAAAAAGTAGCCTTTGCAGACCGTATATGTTTCTTATTTTAACTCTTCTTAGTGCCACAAATGTGGTTCCTGTGAGGAGGAGGAGGAGGAAGGAAGGAAGCAGCTCAGTCCTAGAATGTTTTCGTTGGGAGGAGGGGGGAGGATGTATTTCATTCATAGGTTTATTTGTCTTGTGAAATAGTTGACAGTAATGACACTTTTCTGGAAAACAAGAGGCAGAACAGGACGTGATTTTAAACATTTGCTAGGCTGTGCTGCATTCCTGGGGCAGTTAGCTAAGAGGAAGCTCCATTCTCTCCAGGGAATGGTTCTGTGTCTTTGGTTCATTCCTCTTGAGCTCTTTGAAGGTGGAATTTGGTTTTTTGGAAAACTTGAGGGGGCCAGCGCTGTTGGGGGAACTTTCAAGTGGTGACCAGAAGAATGGGGGTGTGTGCGTTATCTTCTGGGTCTGTGTTAGGAGCGCCGCAGTTTTAGGTTGTGAGAATTCAGAACGCGTCTCTTCTTCAAATGACGCAGGCCCCCCACTTCATCGTGTCATAGGCCAAGGAGAAAACGCTCCTGGGTGATCCTCTATCAGAAAACCTATCACTGATGTCCAGTCAGCCCACTCCTCTAGTCTCAGAAGGAATACAAAACCAAGGAGAACATACGAGAAGGTGTGGCGAGGAGTGTACCCATAGGCCCACCCATGACAAAAGGCTGTTATTCTGAAAGGTTTGAGGGTGGTTGTAAAACTGCTCACTGAGAAGGGTGGAGTTTACACACAGGAAATGTCTTAAACTGTCCTCTCTGGACAGAGTAAATTTAAATTAAAAAAAAAAAAATCACCACATGCCTCTCATATTTTACCTCGTGTTTCTCAAGGAAATACCTTCAAAAGAGGTGGGCTTCACAGTTTGGTGGCTTTTTTTTCTTTTCAGTTACCTTTGTCCCCTAATTTAGTTCTGGATATCTTTCTTATTTCTGAATATTGTGGTTTAGGAGTTACACAACTTTAGTGTTGGTATTTCTGTAACAGAAAACCACCCATGTTGAGGAACTGAGAAAGGGTGAATTAACTTTCAAGTCTGTGGATCCCAGAAGAATTACAAGCATTTGGCACCGTCCTTAGTAACGAATGGAACTGATTGCATTTTAAGCCACTTTAGGAGAATTTTTGATAACACTTTTCCCCATCCCCCACTTTGGTGTTTTGTTTATTATTTGTAGTTCTTCCAATCTTCCCATCTTGGATTACATAGATTCTATCTGCTGATTTAATTTTGTTCATGCCTACAAAGCTGTGTTTTCCAGTTTTCTGGGTATAATCCTCCATAGCGCTTATAACCCAGTATTGGCAAGCTACTCCTCTGAATCTGTATTGATTTTTTTGAAAGCCTCTTATTTGAATTCATCAATTCAGCATCTATGCCTGAGAGTCTCAGAGTACTGTGATTTTGTGAGATAGTTCTGCATTTTTGCTGGTTTCAAATATTTTCACACTGGATCCTAAAAATTGAGGGAAGGACCGTGGGATGAGATGTGATGTCCCAGCTAAGAGACGTATGGTGTTAAAATGAGTCTGGTCTACTTAGATAAAGTAGTTTCTAGAGATTTATAGGTAAGTAAATAAGTGTGGTTAAAAACAAAACCTCATTGACTTAAAGGGCTGACATATAGAGTGATATCTGTCACAGTAACGCTCCGGGACTTTCAACCTCTGATGGCTTCAGACATTAACCACCAACACCCAGCACACACCTAACAGACACACCCAGTGCTTGCTCTCTCACTTGTAAAATTTTCACCTGCAAAATTAAGCTGCCGCCTTCTTCAGAGTCTGTTCATGTATCTGATAAAGTTGGATCAGTTGTTTTGTTTTTCTTTTTTAAATAGGAGAGGAATTACTGAAATACAACAGAATTCAACCTCACATGATTAGAAAAATGTGTTTGTTGTAACAGGTTCATAATACCTTTTCTCCAGTTCCACATCAGCCAGCTTGACTCCTTATAGGAAAATATGCCTGCTGCTCTTCTACTCAGAAACTGTTGCTTGTGCCTGTTGTGTAAATTAAATTCCAGATTCCTTAGCTTGGCATTCAGGACCCTCCCCCAAATGGCCCCACCCCATGGGCTTCCTGTTCCAGCTCTAACATTCCAGTCAGATCTTCCAGGTAGGCAGGCCTGCAGCTCTTCGAAAAACCAAGCCCTGGGTTTTGCCTTCATTGTCTACCTTCTGCCTCAAATGCCCGCCCTTTCGTTTTACCTAGAGAAACCTTTCCTACAATTTTATAAGACTGCGTATATTCCAGTTATTCCTTGTTCTTCTTGTCTCCTCCGTTGGGGTTGGTGGGAAAAAGATTTCATTGAGTGCTTACCATATACCAGACATATTACTAGGAGCTTTGTATATGGTATCTTGTCTTTGTAACATACCTAACAAGGTTTTAAAGATGAGAAGAGTCAAATAGCTTGTCCAGGGTCACAGACATTTTTGAGCTCAGGCTGCACGTTGTTGTTCTCTTTCTCCTCCCAGACTTCTAGATATTAATATTTTTTTTCCTGCAGAAAAAAAGTGGGGTGACGTTGTGAAATGCCCACCCTAACCTGACTCCCTTTCCTGCCTACCTGTCCCCTAGAGCATGGATTCTACTGGCTCTGGGAGTGGAATTTTAATGAAGACAAGATCTAGTTGCAAAGCATCAAAACGAACTTTTCTCTGCCTTGTTTGCACCCTGACATCCAGCACCTGGTATTTCTGGAGGACGTGCTTTCTCTTGGCTATTCTGGCTTAATAAATTTGTCCCACTGTCCAGAAAGAGTTATGGAGTGGTCTGTCTTCATTGGGGCGTAGAGGGAAATCAAAAAGTTTCAGGCCATGGGAATGCGTTACTCAGTTTTATTATGTGCTAGCTCAGAGTTGCCTTGTTGAATTTCTTCACTTTTTGGTTTTGATTTCTTAACTGTTAGGGAAAGAATATTGCTGGTTTTATACATGTGGATCATGAAGAAAATTTATTCTTAAGTTTTTAAGAACTTTTCAGTTTGTTATGGTGTCTAGATGTTTGTCTTGTATAATTTCTTTAAGCTTAGATAAAGATTCCCATGTTTACACCTGTTTCTCATGAAGAAAATTTTAAGTTCTTAGATATGAAGTAATTGTCTTCAAGTATTTCCCACTGTGACAGTGAAAAGAGCTGATAATAAATGATAACCCTTGTGTTTTTGGGAGGGGGCAAGATTTATAAGAACGTATTTGGGTTTAATGAAAGCATAAAAGATTGGCTTTTTGGTCTGGATACCTGCCAATACTATGATACTATAGGTTTTCTAAGTCCACATAACTTTGTGGGATAAATCACCAATTTAAAAAAAAACTACTTTCACCAGTTTGTCTGAGTTTGAGCTCAAAATTAAGAAATTCCTAACAGGTTTGTGAATTAGAATCCTTTCGAATGATGTAGTGATGATAATAATTATCATTAATTTATATAGCACTTAACTTTAATATGTGTCATCTTGCATAATTAACTAAATGAGATTATTTGAAGTACCCAGCGTGGAATCTAGTACTTAGTAACTTCTAAGTAAGTGTGCATAATATTAGTATTAATAATTCTGTGGGGTCGATATTCTCTTACTTTTTATAAAGAAACAGGCCATTGGATTAAGATCAGCCTGTATGAGGCTACCTCTCCACAATCCAGGTTTTCTGACTCCAAATTTTATCTCCTGTAACCACAAAGTGTGGGTTAAATATGAGGCACGACACCCGTTACCCAGATATCATGAATACATTCTGATGGCATAGAAAATTAATGAGCTCAGAACTGCTCAGATTTCTGGACATGTGGTGCCCTCAGTTTTTGGTGTGCTAGGGACACTGACAGTCGAGGGAATATGGATTCTTTTAGCTTAAATCCAACATTTGATTGGGATGACTGTTGAAAGGAATCTTGGAGGCCAGCTAGGAAGAAGAGGAGGGTGACAGATAACTCCCTTTTTGGAAAAGATACCACTTTTCTTAGGGTAGTGAAATAATGGGACTCTAAACTCCTGACTGCTGAGGAAGCTTTCTGGATGACCGTGTTCCTGATCATCACCTCTTCTCTCGCCGTGGGCCTGAAAAGGGGTCTGTTCACAGCTCCACTCCCTCTTGGTCTCTTTCTGTGGTTTCCTAAAGCGCCCCCATGCAACTGTCCCAGCCTCCCTAAAGCTGGGCCCTGATGAGAGCTCTCCTCTGTGCAAAAACTTTTGGGATTTGACTTCGGGGTCGTTTGGCTTTTGCTGACATTTCCATATCCAGCTCCTGCTGCTCCTTGTTTGACAGTACTTGTGACTCCCTAAACCTACCCTGCATTTTCCCACCCTTGAGACCCTCCTCTTCTCGTTTCTTCCACTAGGAATTATTTCTTCTGTCAGGATGATTCTTTTGAGGTTCATTTCAGATGCCACTTATTCTAAGTATTCTCAGAGGAAGGGGAGGCCAGAATCCCTGCTAGTTCCCCTCCTTTAAAATTTATAGTGTAAGCACGTGGCCGTTCTGTGATTTTTCACAGACTGCTTTTGGTTACAGTGTGAGTTTGCCTCTTTATTTTCCCTACATTTCGCAATGTTTGGGAGCATAAAGACAAAAGTCTGACATAACCTGTCTTACGTGTAGCAGTCACTAAGTCTTTGTTGAAGAGTAAATGGATGAAGTGAATGTTACGGACTGCTTTATTGCAGTGGTTCTCAAGGTGACGTCCCCAGACGAGCATCAGCATGACCTGGGAACTTGCTAGAAAGAGAAATTCTCAGGCCCTACTTCTGACCCTACTGAATTAGAAACCCTGGGGGTAGGGCCCAGCAATAGGTGTTTTTCACTAGCCTGCTAGGGGACTCGGATGCACGCTAAAGTTTGAGAGAGACTCCCTTGTTGGATCAGTCATACAGTCTTTGCAGTTTG